TGGCTGTGCAGGAAGGACTAGCAGCCACCATGGAGGCCAGGACTGTATGCTTCTTCAGGGCTGTGGGTGGGACAGGGTGTCTGAACCCTGCCTGTCTGCTGCTGTCGTGGCTACTAGGGGGCAAATGGGAGGCAGAATCTAGCTGTTGAAGGAGGAGCCAGGTGTAGCTCACAAGGTCAGTCTGGACCACATAGCATGATCCTACCTTAATAAATAAATAAATAGACTTTTTAAAAAGGCAGTGTGGTGGTGGTACACACCTGCAATCTCAGCACTCAGGAGGCCAAAGCAGGAGAATTATCATGAGTTCAAGGCCAGCTTGAGCTACATAGTGAGACTCTGTCTCAAAAAAATAAAAGCAAGGACAGAGTTGAATGTCTACTGTGGACAGTGATCCAGTTCCTGAGCACTGGGTCCCAGGTGAAGCTAACTGCCCAAGGCTTGGGGAGCTCTCAGAAGAGTCTCATCCTCCAGCAGACCAGGGATGATCAGAGCCACTCTGCGAGGTCGGAGGAGGTCAGACTGAGGGCACTCTCAGAAGCAGAAAGGGTACAGGGCACAGAGATAGAAGATACCTGTCCAGTGCCCAGCCGTCAGCAGAGAGAAGGGTCCTCGAGGGCCCCCCTGACTGGCACTAGTCTGCATGGCCCCTCTGTTAGCCTGCATCTGTTCCCAGGGTGACTTCCAGAGCCCGCCTGGGCTGTGTAACTCAGGTCCTGTCTCCTGGGGCCGAAAGCGTCCCAGCATGGAAAGAGGCCGGGGTCGCTGAGGTGGTGCTTTAGAGAACAGCTCAGCTGCGTGGTGAGAGTAGATTAGGAGAACAGGGCCGCCAGCAGGTGAGGCAGTGTGTGTTGGTGTCCTCAAGAGCAGTGACCAAAAGGCTAGCGGGGACCGAACGTGATTCCCAGAGGTGCCCTCCTCGCCTTCAGGTCTCGTGCTCTTGCTTCCTCTGGGAGTTCTGCTTGTTCTCAGCCTGAAGCTGCCGTGCTGGCCCCTAGTCCTGTGCACCACAGCTGCATCCCACATCTGCCACTAGACCCATTCTGTGCCCAGGGCCAGCAAAGGCTAAGCGTAGATTGGCTGGGATTTGTGATTGGGGACCGAGGGCCCACAAGCCTCACTGGACCTTGGGTCTGCTCCCTCTGGAGCCCCTGAAGTAGGGTGGCAGGTGGGAAACAACCTCATGAACTAGGATATTAGAGAGGAGGAGAGGCCCACAAGGGAGGCCAGCACACCGTGGGCTTCCCAGCAGGGTCCACAGTCATCTGGGCTGGATGCGTAGTAAATTTCTCTAGCCACAGGTACAGGAACTGGCCATGCAAGGCTGGTGTGTGGATTAAATAAGATCACGCATGAAAGCAGAAGGAAGGGTGCTTAGGACTGAAGATGTGCTCAGCAAACTAGCTCTGGACAGGACCCCCGTCACCCAGGCCCACATTCCTGTTTGCTTCCTGTTCCTCTTCAGATTCCCTGGTTCTCTCCCGCACCGTTTCCTGTCCCTGCTCTTTGCCCCCTTGCTCTTCTCTTGAGTCTTCTTGGCATTGCTGTCTTGGCCAACCTGACCTCCACACCGGTGTCCAGGTTGTCAGAGGTCAAGGCCCACTGAGGACGACTGCAGGAGCTTCAGGTCCTCGGCGCTTGGAGTATGCCCTGGCCACCCTGGCTGCCCTGGCTGCCCTGATACGGTTGCCTGGTTGGCTGTTTGTTATTTTGTTCTAACTGTTTAAATGTAGAATTTTATTTGGGCAAAAGAAGTAAGCTCAGGACATTGATTATTGTTATTCCCGTTTCTCTAAGAATCAATTTCAAGCCATTGTCACTTCAGACTCCCACTCCTTTGCTCACAAGCTCGCATCCCTGTGGTAAGGAGGCCTCTGAGCTATCACCAGAGTCCTGCGAGGATGAGGATGACACTGCCTGGCCTAGGTCGTGTCCCCAAGCGAGCTCAGCCTTCTTCCCCCTATGCTGGGGCTGGGAGCGCCCCGCACGCGTCCTCCCAGTCCACTCCTCTGTATCTCATGACCTCCCACCCCTTCCCCTTCCATGGGTTCCTCCTGACTCTTCCTGCCCTGGTGGGATTTCCCAGGGAGCTGTGTGTACCTGTGGCCATTTCCTCACCTCCCACTCATTTTTCTAGCTGTCACCTCCTGAGCCTTGCTCCCCACAGCCCTCCCTGCCCCGGCCTCCCTCACCTGGCCTTGTAGAAAGATTTAACCTCCAAATGCTTCCTTCCCTCCTCCCTCCTCCCCCCTCCCCTCCCTTCTCCCTCCTTTCCCCTTCTCTCTTCCTCTTTCTTCCCTCCCTCCTTCCCCCCACTCCCTCCCCTCTCCCTCTCTCCCTTCCTTCCTTCTGTCTGTGTCCAGGGATTGAACCCAGGACCTGACACTTGCTAGGTCAGTGTTCTGCCTCTAAGCTACATCTCCAGCTTGCTTTCTTTCTTTCTTTCTTTCTTTCTTTCTTTCTTTCTTTCTTTCTTCTTCCCTTTCTTTCTTTCTTTCTTTCTTTCTTTCTTTCTTTCTTTCTTTTTCTTGATCATTGAAGGCACATTTTATTGCAATTTTTGTTACTTGCAGCCAAGTAGATTCTCTCTGACATTTTCCCTCGTATGAAGTGTTTTAATGTATTTCATGAGTACATATTAATTTTACAAAATACTGGCTTTCCCAAGGCATTCTCATAAGTGCATATAACCTACTTTGATTGTATCCACCCCCACCCCCCAAGCCTTTCCTTTTGTCTAATACTTTCATGGAGTCTTTGTTATTCTCCACATTAAGGCAAACACAATACTTGTCATGATGACCTCTGGTTCCACCCCCTTCACCCCCTTTCCTACAGTCACAGGATTGTATTACTTTTTATGACTAAATTTGCTCCTTCCTTAAGACTGTTTCACCCCGCACCAAAATAGACTCCAGGGCCATCCTGCACCACTCCATTTATCCATCCTGCTCTTCCCCACCATGTTCCATTGGCCCTTCTCACCTCTCTTGCCTGCTGTTCTGGATGGGCTTCTCAGGACTCTAACTGAGACCCCGGGACAGTCCACTCTGTGGTGATGTTACCATCTCAGCCCAAGGAACCCAGTGTGGGCTCCAGATTAGGCTCTTGCTTACCAGCCTCGGGGCTGCCAGGCCCTCAAGTGGCTTCACAGACCCTTGGTCCCAGCAGTCCCATGCTGGCCTGACTTCCACCAGCCCCACTGCCCTGCCAGGCAGGGCCTCTTCCCTCTGTCTGCAAGGAGTCTGCAGTGAGGCTACGGGTTTGGGTCAAGTCCAGTTGTAATCTCGGTGTGGACAAATGAACCTTCCGAGTTACAGGCTCCTAATGAGTGCAGAGGAAATAGCTACGCCTGCTTCAGGTGGTTGTCGTCAGGTAAAGGACATCCCTCACTGGGTGGCATTTCTGATTTTCTAAGTCGTAAACTCATAACATACCACCAAACCAAAGGATGTGAATATGGCTAGGCTATGTTTACTTTTCAGATGGACAAAACCAATAAAGGCCTGACCCTGCTACAGAAAGAGAAGTGCAGCTGTAATTAACAGTGTGTTTTGTTTTGTTGTTTTGAACTGAAAGAAAGAATGGGAAGAGCCAGCTGTGCTGTGTAGAGAAAGTCCACCTTTGACTTGAAGTTCCTGGCTCCGACGTGGTGGGGAAAGGCTTGGTTGTTTCCGAGTTTTCACCTGAGTCCAGAACAGGCTGGACTTTCCCTGAGCTGTCTCCTCTGAGAGGAAGAAGTTGTCCTGCATCTAATGATGCAGGTCACTAGCTGTGTTAACAGCCCTACAGTTTAAAAAAGAAATCATAATGATGTACCATAAGGTGCAATTAATTCTAGTTAAAATTTCCCTGGTAATTTAAAAGCCAGGTGAATTTGTAACTACAGAAATGGCCTCGAGTTTTGGAAACATTAAAGCAGCCATCATGCCCCTGGCTATAGCAGGATGGAGCTCCTGAGCTCCATGGGGATCTGTGCTCATCTGGGCGCCACCCCATCCAAGGCTGTGCAACTGTTGTCATGAGCCAGGGTATTCAAAATCAGGCCGGAAAGTCCCCAGCCCTCCCCAGGGTCTGTCTCACCACCCCCCCCCCAGCAGTTCTGGTCAGACACATGTGCCTTCTGCCCTGGCTTCCCCCAGTGTCTCCCTGACTCAAAGGCAGCCCCACTGGCTCCCGCACCCCCTCTCCCCTGCAAGCAGCAACAAGGAGTCTTCAAGACTGAGCTCTGATTACACTGCCCACCAGAGCCTAAAGCCAGAGTGAACAGTGTGACCAGGAAGTTCCTGTGTGTCCTGCCTGGCCTCCCCGCCAGGGGCACCACCCTCCATCTCCCCATATCTCTTGGGGTCCCAGTCACCAGCCTTCCAAACATTGCCCCAGGCCCTGTGTTTGTGCTGTGCTTGCTGCCCAAAGAACCTTTGTTGCCCCCCTGTATACCCCCTGGAGCCCCTTGTCCTTCCCAGATTCCCACCTCAGCTAGGGCAGCTGCTTTTCTTTCATAGAAATACAGATTCTTTTTTCCTGCTTCAAGGAACCCCCTTTTTCTGAAGTACTAGGGAGTGAGCCCAAGGCTCACGCCTGCTACACAGCCACTGTACCACTGAAACAGTTCAGTGGTAGAGTGGCTGTGTAGCAGGTCTCACTATGTTGCCCAAGCTGGCCTTGGACTTGCAGTCTTCCTGCCTTGGCCTCCTGAGTAACTGGGATCCCAGTAAGCGTCCCTGCACCCGGCCACAGAATCTTAACATGAGCCACATCTCTGCCTGTGTGTTTCTCAGCCTGGGGCCATTCCAGGTGCCTCTGCCACACAGCTCCGTGAAGTGACCCTCCTGCAGCACAAGGTGGGCCCTTCCTGGATGCTGGGGGGTGTTGAGTGGACAGGGAAGCTGCTGGTGGCGTCCCCTCCGCCCTGTGCCCTGCTGGAGGAGGCCAACTGCTGTTGGGGCAATGGAAGCTGCGCCCAAGTCTCACCTGTTCCCTGTCCTCTTTCCGTTTAGCTCAAGCTGGCTTTCACCCTGGACCATGAGACTGGGCTGCCCCAAGGCTGTCACATCTACGAGTACCACGACAGCAACAAGTAAGTGGCGCGGCGCCACCATGCCTAATTTATAAATCTAGCTGGCGCAGATTTCCTCTCCAGGTTCAGCCATCCTCCAGATAGAGGTCCGCCTCTCTCACCTCTGCCCACGTTGCGCTGGCTGCGTCACAGTCTCTGCTCACCACAGCAGCAGTCACAGCTCTGTCATCATCGAGTATGGGGTTGGCAGGGTGCACTGTGGGGACTCTTCGAGGGTTGAAGTGTGGCCTTGTGGACAGGTGGCCACGGTGTCCTCTCAGAGGCCCTTTCCCTTGTCGCAGACAACTGCCACCCAGGCTGGGTGGTGTTCGTGAGGCAGGGACAGCAGTGGCCAGGGTCACGGGGCACTGCATGCTGTCAGTGACACCGCTGCAGTTCCCCTGAGCACTAGCTATTGGGCGTGGTCTTGGGCTTCACTCATGGCCCCTTCCAGCTCTCAAACGCAGCCCTGGGGTTATTTCCTTGCTTTGTTTATGGAAGCCGAGGCCAGGCTCACTCCAGGGAACAGTGGTGGCTCTGAGTAACAGAGAGCACATCAGCGTGAATGTGCTGCAGGTGGAAGGCAGGTGTGCTGAGTGACACCTCGGAAACCCCAGTCGGGGACAGGAGCGAGCCCAGCTGGCCATGAGCAATGAACTCCTGTCAGGATTAAATGCCCAGGTTATGCCAGGCAAGGCGGTACACACCTGGAACTCCAGCGTTCAGGGCACTGAGGCAGGAGGATCTTGAGTTCACACCCAGCCTGGCAACTTAGCAACTTAGTGAGACCATGTCTCAAAATAAAAAGATTTTAGCTGGTATGTAGCTCAGCAGCACAAGTGCCTGCATGGCAAGTGTAAGGTCATGAGTCCAATTCCCGGTACCAAAAAAAATTTTTTTAAAGAGGGCTAGTGGCTGAGTGTGGTGGCACAGGCCTGCAGTCCCCAGTACTTGGAGGCAGAGGCAGGAGGAATGCCATAAGTTCAAGGCCAACCTGAGCAGCATAATGAGTTTAAGGCCAGCCTGGGCTACAGAGCAAGACTCTGTCTCAAAAAAAAAAAAAATCACATTTGTAGGATTTATTTTTAGTGCAGCCTCCAGCTCCCCCAGCCCCTCCCTGATCTGCGGCTACCCTTTCTTCTGAGCTGGGACTCCAGCAGGAACAAGAAGCCATCTTCGTCCTGCCCTGGCAGTGCCTGCAGAAGCCTAAAGGTGCTTGCACTCTGCCACAAAGCCACAGAGCATCTTAGGTAGTGCACTTTGCCAAGGGACCTGGCACCCGCCCTGCACACAGACAGAAAGTGCCATTTCCCAAGTGCTGGTGCTGCTCTGAAGGTGTCAGGACTGCTGGGAAAGGTTTCTTCTGCTTATTCAGCAGGGAGAAAGAGGAAAGAAACAAACAGAGGGAGAGGTAAATTGAACTGGGCCCTGATTCAGGTCTCCTGCTCTGTCCTACCCAAAGAGCACAGCCAGAGAAAGGCACTCAAGGGCTCCTTGAAGGTTTAGGGCCCCCATGGGGCTGTGCAGGTACCTACCTGGTTGGCCCCATCCATACTTTCTGCCAACCTTGAAGGCTGCCTTTTGGGGTCCAGCACGGCAGGGAGATGTCAGGGGTGACATCATGCAGCAGCTGCAGCTGCCCCTGTGTGTGGGAGCAGCACGAGACAGGTGGGAGCCTACGTGACCACTGAGGCAGGTGGGGCCCAGCACCTCACTCTGGGTGGAACAGTGAGGCTGGTGCCTTTGTCCTCAGAAAAGGAGAGAGAAACTGATCCCCGAGAAGCATCCTGTCCATATGGTCAAGCTCTAAACAAGCAGAGCTTTGCTTTTCTTTAAGCAATGTATGGTGGCACGTAATCCCATCACTCAGGAGGCTGAGGCAGGGGGATGGCCTTGAAAAATTCAAGTCTAGCCTGAGCTACAGAGTAAGTCCCCGTCTCAAAAAACAAAGAAAATAGAGCCAGTAGGAGGCCAGCCTCATGGCTTTCAGGATCAAGATGCATTGCTTCTGGCATCTTCAGGTCTCCGTCTCCAAGGCCTGTGTAGGTACTGTGCCCACAGAGACCAGGACAGCTGTTCATCAGCTGGGCAGAGCCTAGACCTCTTCCCCAGATTGCTGGAGAAGCAGGAGGGCAGAGCTGCCATCATGCTTTAAGGCTCTGAACTGCTGCCACAGAGAACCTGCTGCCTTTCCCAGCTCACAGCAGGCCAGAGCAGAGCAGACAGGGCCTTGCCTGGCTTTGGACTTAGTGTGAGTGGAGTCACTTGGTAGTGTGTCTGATTCTTCTCCTCTCGGCACCTTGTTCATGAGAATTCATCTTTGTGGATGCATCCACTTGTTTGTTCTCCATTCATTTTCAATGCTGCAAGACTTTCCTTTGTGTAAATGAACCACACTTTATCCAGTCTGCATTAATCCAGCCAGCACTTGGGTTGCTTCCAGCTTGAGGTTCCATAAACAGTTCTGCTTGTGCATGGCTTTCGGGGCACATACACGTGTATCTGTTTTTCAGTTTTACCCAGGAAGGAAATTGTTGAATCCCATAATTCTACCAGCAATATATGAAAGCAATATATGAGAGCTCTGCTGTTTGCTACTCACTCTGTAAACTGCATTTTCAAGTTTCTTGTCTCTTTTCTCCCAAGTTTTCATTGTTTGTTTGTTTTCTGAGACAGCCTCCTGTCTCAGCCTCTCAAGTACTGGGACCACAGGTATGTACCACCATGCCCAGCCAGAAGTGCTTAATTCTAACAAAGTTCAATCTATGAATCCTTTGTTAGTGTTAAGGGTTTTTGTATCCCATTTAATAAGTCTTTGCCTATAACAAAATCTTGAAGATTTAGTTCTTATTTTCTGTTCTTGTGCCAAAACCACACTGTCTAATTCTGTACCTTTTTGAAACAAAGTCTTAATATGCAGTAAAGCTACATTTTCTCACTTCTTCTATAAAGAACACATAGGTATTCTTGGCTCTTCCCATTTCTTTCTTTGTCAGCGCTGGCCTCGGGATTGTCAGTTACCATATATGAACACACATGCAAGCTTGCTGGGACCCCTGTTTGAGGTCATTTTAAATCCATCACTGTGAGAAAACCTGACACTTGTATGATGTTGTCTTCCAAACTGTCGTATTCCTCTCTCGGGTCTTCTCCGATTTCCTCACAGCATCCCCCTTCACTCCTGCTCATGTAGCTGTGATCCTGCATCAGGGCAGCGAAACGGTGTTTTGGTCAGTGACAGACCCTGGTCTCCTAAGATTGCAGTGGAAGTGAAAACCCCCAATACTGAGTGACAGCACAGCTGGCTCAGGGGCACAGCCCTAGCCTGTTGCATAAATGTGCAGCGTGCGGTTGTTCTCCCTGGAGAGCACTCAGGCATCAGAAATGTGTCACAAAAGTTCATGGCAAGGAGCTAGACAGGTGGAATCTGGATTCTGTTTAATAAAAAAGGAACTAATGTTTATCCCAAACCACTAATTATAACCTCCTAAGAGAGGTTTCACCTTGTCAGTCAAGTTTCCTGCAATAGAAAATATTTTTGGTGGGACCGGCCAGGCATGATAGCACATGTCTGTAACCCCACGCTCAGGGAGGCCGAGGTGGGAGCCCAGCCTGGGCACCATAACGAGACCCAGTCTCAAAGTAAAAAATGAAAAAGGCCTGGATATTCAGTTCAGGACAAAGGCCCTAGTCACACACAGTGTGTGAGTATGCGTGTCTGTGCGCGTGAGCTCGTTTGGATTACATTGCAAAGCCTTCTCTAATGCTGTGATCCTGACCGCCAACCTGGCCTCGCTAAGCCCACTTCCAGCATCAGCTTCTGCAGACCCTGCTTCCTTTCCGAAACAGGGAAGGGTCCCTGCAGCTCTGGCTCCGGGCATGAGTTAGACTTTTCTAGAGACATTCATTGGCTTGCAACTCAGGCGCAGGAAGGACATTACCAGGCAAGAGAGACCTGAGATGCCTGTGTTCCTTGGGGACACCAAGAGGGGCCCCCAGTTCCTGGTCCCTGGCCCCCAGGCCAGGTAGGGCTTCATGGAGCCTCCAGTTCTGCCAAGGCTCCGTTGATCCAGGACTGCGATTCTAGAATCCACATTCATGAGGGTCGAGGGTCGAGGAAGGGACCCCAGGAAGCTGGTTCTCTTCTGATGTTCTGCTGGAAGTGGCCCTTATGGAGTCGTCCCCATGGCTGGTCCTCTGTCCTTTCCACAGTCTGCAGGCACTGGTGCCCTGCGTGCTCTCTGCTGTTGCCCTCAGTTGCATCACAGAAAGCCTCTGGGGCTGTTCTGAGGGTGAAGTTAGGGTGACTGACAGAGCCCGTAGGGATAAGACTCCAGTGACACACAGGATGCGGCACCAAGGGTCTCCTGGCTGCCGAACAGAGCTTTGGGCAGGCAGCAGAGGCTGGGCCGCCCCACTGCTCCCAGGCTCCTCGCTCACATATTGAATGTGGAGCCCCCAGGTCCAAAATAGCACTGGTGCCACAGATGTCCAAGAGGAGAGCGCTGAACTGTCTGCGGGTTTGTTTCTTTCTGTTCCTCTTCCAAGCAGCCTGTGCCTCCAAAGCTCATGCAGCGCCACTCTCCGCTCCAGCCTCTCTTTCTGATGTTCACTGCAGTGGGAGCAAACTGGGGCAGCCAGAGCTTTATCTCTGTGACCCCAAGGCTGCTTGCCTGTAACCCAGAGGAGCCCCACCCACAGCTCTCCACACCCTCTGTCCCTTCTGCCTCCTGTTGTCCAGGGTCAGAAGGTGGTGACAACTGAGGACGTCCCTCCTAGACAAAGGAGCAAACAGACCCGCCCCAGCAGGCCTGGGGGACTTGGCCACGGCCACGGCTGGGAAGAGGCCTGGGCCCCTGCTTCTCTCTCACCTCCTCCCTTTGCTCCTCGAGGCTGACCTACAAGGCTTCCCTGAAAGACAGAAATCTAGGTCACCAAGCACTCTTGAAACTAAATCCTTCAAAACTCTTAAAGCCTTTGTAAGAGAACAGATGTGTCCTGGCTGATTTAACACAGGATTG